TTCAGAATAGAGACATGTGGGACAGTGATTCATCCTGGAGCAGCCAGAAAGAAATCAAGTCAATGGGAAAGGATCAGCTTCAGAAAACAAAATAGAAAAGAAAGAAAAGGAAGGGGAAAGGAAGTAAAGCTAGTTAAAGCAAACCCTTCCAGGATTCTTGTTTGACAAAGCACAGGTGTGTGTCAGGGTTGTTTTCCAGCGGGGCAGCCTTGCTTCCAGCAATGACTAAACTGGATTTAAGCAGTGCACACAATGTTCTGAGGCTCCAGGGCTGAGCCAGCTAATACTTTCAGTCATGCTGAACATACCATCCTTGTGTAGAGATCAGCTAGTCCCCAGGGTCCCTGGGAGGAACGTGAATCTCTCTTCATAAGCCTGCATATTTCCCGTCTCTGCTCCCTTAAGGTCTCTGACTTCCAGCCAAGGAGGACAGATTGTCTAGAGGGTGTTACAGGCTCAGCACCCACAGGTGGAACCAGTTCTTCAAGAGTGCCAACACATGCTGTAAGTACATTCAGATTTGTCCTTCCAGTCCTGAGGAATGCCCTGAATCAGGCTGAGCTCTGCTCACCAAATTTGTCTGGAAACTGCAGAGGGAGTTAGCTCATTGCTGCTCCTTTGGTCTACACACAGGCACTGCCAGGAGTCCAGAGCAGTGCAAAATGGTAAATCCTTACCTAGAGGCCACTTGGTGAGAGTTACAGAAGTATCATCAGGCACAGCAGGTCCAGTTTGCTTGTGACAAGTAGTGGCCTAAGTAATTGAAGCAATTCAGGCTGTCCACTGCTGATCACCTGACAGTGTGACAGGGACACAACCGGTGCCTGGAAAATTTGATCTGTCATTTTGCATGCAAGGACTGCATTTAGACACACTCTTGCCTTTACCTGATTTCAGCCCTGCCATGGATCACACTGCAGAATCACAGCTCATCTCCAGCCACCTCTGAGCTTTGGCCTCATACCAGCTTTTGGCATTCCTAAATAAGAACATCTTGCTCCCTAAAGCTCCTGTTCCTTTAATGATCATGAAGTTGAAACAAAAATATAAAATACCAACTGAAACAGTAGTAAAATCAAAACCAAGTTTTGAATTAATGGAGACTGACATTTGCACTATTGCCATGCTTTAAATAATTTAAAATGATTCCAAAGCAATCTATATTTCTTATTGACAATCTCATGTTAATTTAATAACCTGGTGGCTGTAATTATCATTAACTGACTTACACTCTGACCGCATCTTAATACACTTGACAATTTTTTCTTCCATTAGCTCTCACAGCCCACCATCAAGCAAAGTTCACCCCTTCCAGTAATACCATGACTCAGCCCACTTAAGACAAAGCCTTCACCTCTGTCCCACTGATGTCAACCTCCCTGTCCCCACCACCCCTGAGGACTGACTAGCAGCTCTCATTTTCACTGCCTTGGAAGCATTTACCCCAAACAGAGCAGAGAGTTCCCTAAGGAAAAGCGAGGGCTGGAAAGTGGGGATTGCACTTGGGAGAGGACATTTCCACAACTTACTGCTGTCTGGAGCCTGAGCTACCACAGAAGGTCCCTCTAGGGAACAGCCTGGGTGGGTGGTGAGAGCCACAGGTTGGTTCCACGAGTACCACAGTCAGTCAGGGCCATCAGTTTGGCTGCTCTGAACAACATGAAGCTCACAGGTGAGGCCCTTGTAGCACTGTCTCATTGATTTGCAAAGTGAAACTGTGTCAGTTGCGGTAGAGACTTGGCTCTGCATGGAGTTAAAAAATGAATAAACAAAAAGCCAGTGCAGAGGATTTAAAGCTGAGCTCTCCCTGTGTGAGTGTTGATAAGTGCTTTGTGGAAACAGGCTATTTCAGCAGCCACAGCTCCTCTGCAAACACCGAACAGGGCTTGGATTATGCCAACAGTTTAATATGATGGTTTTTTTGGAGATGCGCATTCCCAGTGTCGGTATCACAGTCTGTTAGACCAGGTGGGTATCAGACAGGCTCCTCAGTGCCTCACGACTAGATGTTCCTGTGCAGGATGGATGCGCTGGCAGCAGCACTTGAAATTAACCGACTGTCTTCTTGGACAGATCAGTGCTACTGCAGACCCCAGGTCGACTGGAGCGTATTCTGAGCGCCTTTGCAGTGGCTGCTGAGACCTTTGCTGATTTGGGCTACATCTTTCATTTCAGCTCCATGCTGCTCTTCTGTTTGCCTGTCATCAGACTTTGCAGGTGACTCCCTCCCCGAGAAAACTGTCATTTCTTTTGCTATTAAATTTAAAATTTAACTACAGTGATTATTTCCTGCAGTGGTGAGAATTCTTTCAGCCTTCCCACTCAGCAGGTCTGTGGCTGCTGAGAAAACAAATTACCTGTATAAATATAAATGCATTTAATTGAAGCCTCCCAGGCAATCCACCTTCTCCTGATTGCTAGACTCTAAGCTTTTTTTAATGGGAGCACCTGTGATTTAGAGTGGAGATTTCAAAAGCAATAAGCCCCATTCTTTGTCATTCTTCAGACATGACAACTTGCTATTACCTCCCAAATAACAGTAAAAGTGATGCTTTTTCTGCTTTCACCAGCCTATTCAGAAAGGCCTTCAAATACCAAATAACAGAATGTGCTAGCATTTTAACTCTGTGCTGATACTTTATTACTCTGTTTGATTTCTAGTTTGATTGGTGGGTTTTTTTTTTCACTCAATACCTCTGTTTTTCTCAAACTCTGTTTCTTTTCCCTGTAGCTGACCTCTCCCTCTCAACAGATCGGCTGTAGCCAGTCTGACAGCATTACTACCCCTGCCCCCAAAAGCTGGGGGTTTATGATGCAAGACAGCTTAGTGATGAATTGCAACATTAAGAACTTGAACTGAACCACGCTCACAAAGCAGCAGTTAGAACAAGCACATAACAGCCCAGAAAAGTAAATAATCTCTAAGGTTTATTCACTCACCGGTGAGCAGGATATTTACTCTGCACAGAAGTAGTCCCCCAGCATTTATGAACTATTCACTAACCTAAGAGGGAAAGAAGCCAAGGTCAGTTGCCACCAGGGGTCAGCACCGGATCAGTAGCAGTAAGGATGGGCTCCGGGCAGGATCCCTTTCGCCTGGTGACACCAAAGCAGGAGCAGACAGACGGCCACGCTGCTCAGTACCCTCAAGCAGTTTCCAGCACGAACCAGACAGTACATCATCATCATCACTGATATGTCCACGAAATGGCACACAGAGATAAGTTAGACAAGAAAATAAGCAGCAGTTAGTTTGCTGGAAATGAAAAACAAAACAAAATTAACAGTGGCAAGGAGAAAGAGTCTGCTGATTTACAGCATTTCTGTATCTCATCCCTAAGACCTGTAACGGTAAAGATAGCATAAAGATAGCGTAAAGTTAAGCAAGCAAGGCTGCGGGGTGAGTAAGCCTCTTCCTGAACCTGCTTAGTGTGAGCAAGCACTTCCTTGAGCTGTAGAAAGGTTTGTGGAAGAACTTTAGCACACTTACATGAACACAAGCACTCCCATGCTCAGCTCTTAAACCAAGTGAGTGCATTTACCTGCTGCTAAACTGGTTCCTGACAGCACAGATAAGTGCCTGCAATCACTTGTTGCAGAGATGACATCTTCCATATGTTAATTTACACAACATATCTATAAAGTTCGTCACTATCAAAAATTTCACAGGCACTCATTTGCGAGCTGTCACCAACATGAACATGCCACATCCAGTGCAAAGTTCAATTCAAAGTTTTCTTTATTAAAATACCTTTTCACATTCCTTATACTAATGCATTTTGTATGGACACTCATGGGATGCTGGAAAGAACATTTGTCAACAGAAGAGTCAGTCATTTGTCAAAGGCTTATGATACAAACAACATTTGCATAGGAACAATAAATTAGAGCTATTAGCCAGTAACTGGAGCTTGAAAATTTAAACGTTTGAAATGAGGATATAAAACCCTTTTGTATTTCTTGCTGGTTCTGTGCCTTTGATGCAATGCTGAAAGCAGTAACTATGTAAGTATACACAAATCCACATCCTCTCTTTCACTATTTTCTAATTAAAATGAGAACCTTCTTACCTGTGGCCCAGATCTTGTAGTGATTTAATCAGCAGTAAGAAAAGGAGAGCAATTGTAGTGTCAAAGACCAGCTGGTTAGGGGCTGGGGACAGTACTTCTTTCTGTTTTGTTCTGTATTCTTTTTATAAACTAAAGCAACTGAGATAAACACGACCTGCAAAGATTAGATCCAGGTTCAAACTGGATCCATGTTAGTGGTTTATCATACCATACAGAAAAAGGATAGGTATGGAGTTCCATACTAGACAAACTGGACACAAATATGACTTCAAATCTCTCCTAAAATCAAAGGAATAAGGATTACACGTAACAGGATTTTCAGGTACAAACTCACTGACCTGGGTGTAGCACATCCACCCATCTGAAGACTGATATTTTGCATCATCCAAAATAACTGTGATGGGCAATCATTCCTCGAAGGCCCGTCACACAAACTAATCAACAAGCATCAGAACATCTAAAGGGGAAAAGTTATTTAGTGAAGAATAAAGAATATTTATGCCTCTACTGAGAGAAGCAGTTGGTAAAGTACTGAACCTCTGAACAGTTATTCAAGTTTTTAAGAGAGCCCAGAGCTCGCTCTTCCATTAGGCCCTCATGGCAATGTTACATCCAAGACTGGTCCAGCAGTCCAGCTGCTGCAGCACAGGGAGTTCAGCGCAAGCTGCAGGATCATGTCAAAGCACATACATGGTTGGGCAAGCTATGCTGAGCTCTGTTCTGCCACAGTAGGGTGTTACTGATAACCAAGTTAGCTAGTTTAAAGCAAGTTTAAACATTTCTACATCCTACTGGCATCACAGTAGTTACTGCACTGTAAAGGTACTTCCTCAGATGTAGCTTCCCCTTTTATTTCCTCAGAGCATGATGAATTGGAGGCTAGAAAGGAAAAATCGCATTAGCAGGAGAAATTAAAGATGAGAACCTAGGTCAGTGGTTTCTAGAGCCACTTTCCTGTTAGAATTTTTATTTGTCATTTTTTCCATTAAATGCTTTAGGGACATCTCTATTGTTCCCTCTAAGGAAATCAACTCTGAAGAGAAGAGCCTGGTAAACTCATAAATAAGTGCTGCAGAGCTTTTGAAACTTTCACGACATTTTCCATCTTGGCTTGTTTTCTTCTCCCAGCTGATCTTTGAGATGACAGTTCTAAGTAGCATCACGATGCCCTTGTATTCTCTGTTGATGACAAGACCAAAAAAAAGAAAGAAAGAAAAAATATGAGTATACATGTCTGCCTGCCCTCTCCTGTCCTTTTTGATCAATACAAAAACATTAAATATAGTAACATATTCCTTAGAGCACTGTACAATGAACTAATAAATACCCTCAGTTCCCTGGGGAGATATTAGTATTATCTGCATCTGACAAAAAAGGAAATAAGACAGTGGGAGAGTCAGGTTAACAATTACAGGCTACAATGCAATACTGTTAATCACCAACATCTGCAACTGGGCACTTACTGATAAAAGTTGGATTCTTAAGGAATTGCTGGCACTCAACAAATCTGAAAGTCAGATCCCCTATTTACTAACCGATGCTCAACTTCAGTCTCACAAGAATGAAAACCTTTTCCTAAGAAGCACTTGGGTATCTCAACAGTGAGCAATGCAGTGTTCATCTTTGAGACACCATGTTTCTGCAAGAGACTGCTCCTTCGAGTAGGTTATTTTCAGTACACAGCAGGGACATAGAAAGCTGGCACTGAGAACCACAAAAGGCAGTGTGAAGACAGAGGAGTCCTCTATGCTAGCTAATGGGAAGGGCAGAGAGAGATTCCAAACTTCCTTGTCTTTCCATTATGTGACAGAAATAATTCTGTCCACCGAGAATTCACAACTGTCAAGTTTTTCCTGACATCAGTTGTCAAAGCAAGTCTTCCCCCAACAAATACCTGCTAAGGGTACACGGTGGCCTCTAACCTAATAGTTTAGACTGTCAGCACCGAGGCGCCTCATTCCTTTTGTGGACTTACCCCCAAAGGATTTGCCCCATGAGTCAGAGGCAGGAATTCCTGGTTTATAATTCAGTGTTTATTTCACCTTGTTTTTTCATATCCTGACTGCCTGAAATCCCCCCCCCCCCATTTTAAATGGACACATCCTTCATCTTCATTTCCTGTCTGAAACTATTGTGCCATGGTGCTGTGCACAGTTAAACACATGCCAGGTCCCCCTTCAGAACTGGGTATGTTGTACCGGCAATCTGAAATAACACCACTGAGAACTTAATGAAATACTTCTGAGGTCAATTGAGTAAGATGAAAAAATAGCTGAAAAAAACCCAGAAATTTCTCCAAATAGATTTAAATTGCACAGGTTTCTGTCTCAGAGGGTGCGTTCTCAGGCTGAACAAATAGACAGCTAAAAGTACTCTGTGTTCTGACCGAGGCTGCCAGCCTTCCGTGTACCCCTAAAACAGAATCAAACAAACAAACAAACACCCATCTGAGAGGTAACAGGAGAGGAGGAGGTACGAAGTCAGAACATACTGCTGAGGTAAATTTGACACAATACCAATTAGTATTTGGCGAAGGGGCTATCTCATTGTTAAGATATTTCCTTCAATATGTTTTCAGAAACTGGGACCATTAAATAACTTAGAAAGATTGCCAGCTCTGATTTCAGGAAGGAAACCTCCTCCCAGTTCCTCTCTAAGCAATTCATTTCTTTTTGCAAATACTTCCTATGGATGGCATTTGAGATACAGATTTCTGAAACAGAGGAGAAAGAAGGAAGCAACCCCCAACCTCAAAACTTTAGGCTCCTTACTAAATGACCTAAAAGACATTCAGGTTCAAGGTGCTCTGGACTGCAAATCAGTCAGAACCTATACTGCTATTGGGTCTTCATACAATTCAAGTAATTCAAGCTTGAACTGATTGTTTTTCTAATGCACCACCTTTCTTGACATAATACAAACGCTTTCAATGCCTCTGTGTAACACAACGTTTATTGTCAGTACACAGTGTTACTAAAGCCCTGAGCCCAATTTTGTAATGGTGTCTTAGTGAAGATGAAGGATTGTTTTTATTCTGACAGAATTTATGCAGGGGCAAATGCACAGGAGCAGTGCTAGCACTCACTAAAATTTCCTTCAGTCTTTCTCCACAGCATAGTACTCGGTTTTGCCTGACTTCTGGAAGATCAATGCAGAATTCAGAGAGCTAAAACGACATCAGGATCTGACATCAAGCCTCCACCATCATTACTGAAGTAGTTGTAAAGGTTGCATGTCCTCCTGTCTCTGAAAACACAGGTCTTAGCCAAACACTCCTCTCTGCTGTGGTGCCCCCTTTGTTCCACCCTTCTGGAATACCTATTACTTCCCAGAGTCAGATTCTATGATTTTTTTTGACAGTCACTATAGCTAAGTGATCCATCTGGCATTTCGTGTGGTTAAGATGCCAGCTGACCGGCCTGGCTCCTGAAGGCCTTTTCCTCACAAGTTAAGGGAGTGGCAGATCAAAAGCAACGTCACCTGTGAGCCAAATCTTTCATTTGGCTATAAAGAAGCAGAACAGCTGGGAGGAAGCTTAAACCTCTTGATCACTTTATAAGGAGCATTTTCCTTTCCAAGAGTGGGATCAACAACTCCTCATTTGGACTAAACCTCTGAGACACATCACAGTTAATCACTGTGTCAAAATGAACTGCAGAAAAAACACAGTTGCAAGAAAATAATGATAGAAAGCACCTTAGTAGCTCCCTGTTATCTTCTGAACTCAGTTTAGATTGGATGTAAGGAGGAAATTCTTTCCTTAAGGGTGGTGAGGCACTGGAATGGGTTGCCCAGGGAGGTTGTGAATGCTCCATCCCTGGCAGTGTTCAAGGCCAGGCTGGATGAGGCCTTGGGTGATATGGTTTAGTGTGAGGTGTCCCTGCCCATGGCAGGGGGATTGGAACTTGATGATCTTAAGGTCCTTTCCAGCCCTAACTATTCTGTGATTCTATGATGCCTGAAAAGAGCTGAGAGGCAAATAGGGGGTATAGAAAATCCGTAAAGAACTTTATCTGTCCAGTCCAACTTCAGGTCACTTTTCTGGAAAGTTCAAAAGAGGGATCTTTTTGTCACAGGCTTTATTGGGAACAGAAGGGAGAATTTAAAAAGCAGAAGATGGGGATATGGGTTTGGGTTTTTTGCTATGTCCTTTAAAGCACTAATAATTCAGAAAAAGGAATAGTTATCACATGAAGAACAGCATCTAAGGAGTGGCTAGTGTCACGGATGTGAACTGAGTAAGGCTAATTCTAGGAAAATTCAAGTAAGAAGTGCAAGTGTTATAAAGGTGACTTCTCTTTGGGGTGGTTCTGCAAATGGGATTAGTTTTACAGAATAACTGGTTTTATTACTCTCCTATTGTTAACACTGCCCTCAGCTGACACTTTTCTCCCTTGAATCTAACATTATTACTTCATAGATTGTCTGGTTTATAAGCTTTAACAGCCCAATTAATTATGATGAAAGTGATCCACATGGGGCAGTCAGTGTGTTTTCTCTCAAGCAGCCTCATTATACTTCCATGAAGAGATTTCTTTTCTCATTTTTGGCCACAGGAAAAAAAAACAACAACAAAATCTTCACAAAATTTTAGTCTTTATCCAATGTCCATTATAAAATACGTAGGGTGGGGGGGAAAAGGACAAAACCTCCTCCCTGAGCATACACCAGACATCTATCACAGCCACTCTTGACCATTTTCCCCTTTGTGCAGGACAGGGACACACTTTCTTCTCTGGGTCTCCCCGAGGAATGCCTGGTGCAACCCACAAGAGGGTCCAGCTCCAATTACATTTAGAAAATAGAGAGCAAAGACTAAAAACAAACCGTTAAACTAAGAGAGACAATGACACCATAAACCTGACTGGCCTGTTAACATACGTCTGTTTATCGTAACAGAATCTGTGACCTTCAGTGCACTGCCAGTGTCTGTAAATAATACAATGGGCTGCCTTTTTATCCCATGGGGATGTGAGTGTTGATGGAGCCTTTCAAAACTCAAATGGATGCCATAAGCTGACGTAGACTGTGCTATTGTGATTCTTATTTATGAATCTGTCTTTTTCTGTTTAAGTACAAGTTCCAAAGTCCCAAAGTGGATGGCAGAAAAACACCCTGTCTGCATGGTTTTAGGTTGGGTTAGACACCTAACATTCATAAAAGTATGCCTGAATTGTAAGTTCCCTGCCTCTTAGATCTTTTGAGAGAAGACTAACAGCTCATTCAGGACATTTATTCTTTTTTTCTTTAAATCCATCTTTTTTCATTGGCTTCTTAGCCCTATAAAGCTGGTCACCACCTACAGAACCCTCACAAAACTCCTCATTGTTTAGTTGAGATCCTCCATGGATGGATGGTTTTATTCTCATCTCCTGGTTACAGCAGTACAACTGGCATAGCTGCGTACTCCAAGGTAAAAACTTCATTTCACATCTTAGGAAGGATCTCACTTCTCTGGATATTCCAATCACAGAATGTGTGTGTGTGTGCAAGAGAGCAGGCACATCCCAAGGAGATTCAGTGCAGACTTTACAGATGGGACTGGAACTCAGCTCTGTCCCCAGTGATACATCAATCAGCTTAACAGGTGCAAATCTTGACTGCCCCAGGTCCATGAGGACCTGCAGCAAGCAGCAGCCATCCCCAGCCTTGTACCATTCCATCAGCATGAATATCTGTGGCATGTGTCCAGAGCTGTGCAGGTGTTCAGCACAAATGCTTGAAGATTATTATTTATCATCTGCCTCCTGTACCAGCACTACCAAATATCAGTCATTCCATGGACTTTTCAAGCTGACCATTCTATAAATGTCACACTGAAAGCCTCATCAGTAAGAACCTATATGAAGGGATTGCCCAGTAGCTGTCCAGTAAAGGTACTCAACAACAAATAAACCATTAAAAGGTAGCAACAGTTGAACATTATCTCACTAGATACACAATAACCTTGATTCAATTTCCCTATATTTGACTGCTTGCAAAATAAACTACAACATATAAATTACGAAATGGCCCATTGCAGAGTCATTGGTTCTATGGTCCAGAAAATAAACTTTTATGTTTAATCTAACATTTTTGGTTCACCTTGCAATGATGTAAAATTGCTGCCTGCAACTAAGGTTCAAGCTCTGGTCCCAAGAAGTATCCAAGCACTAGCTTAATTCCAGTACATGGGTGGG